ACTATATCACCTTCTACCTTTGTTTCTTGAAAGCAAAACACATCTGCTTTCCACTTCTGAACCATACTTTTCACCTTTCTCCTTTTTGCCTCCCTGTTTAATCCCCTCACATTCCATGAAATAATTTTTACTTTCATGGATGATCTTCAATTGTCGCTCTCCCCCTGTTTCTACACCTTCCCACTCTCATTGAATTTCATATTAATAACCAGTCCCTTTACCTCATGCATGCCTTTGAATTTTGGTGTCGTAGCAATAGCCTTCTCTGCTCCCGTTTTGCTCTGTTTTCTTCTGCTATCTCTTTTGATAAAGAGTGCTAGAGCTTCCTTCTCACACCCTAAAAAATCCACCCCAAATAGATTGTTCAATCTGATGATATTACTGTGTACCCATAAAGTTGCGTTCATCTCAACATCAACAATAAGTGCTTGGATTGGTACGGCATCTTCGCGTGACTACTGCTCTTCCCCTCTTATTTCAACTATTTGCATGTCGGAATTCTGCGGCTGAAATTGCAAGAAGCCTTCGTCACCGTCTTCGTTCAAGAGTGCTCGACTTTCCCCTCCCTGCCTATCCACAATTTCTAGACATTATGCGTTTTTTTCTTCCTCGTGAAAAGAACCCAAAACTTCTGTCATACTTGTCGTAGTTTCCAAAGTCTTTACACTCCAGTTTTTATTGGCTTCTATCTCTAGCATAAATGGGTCAAATTTATCAGGCTCAAATAAATCCTGGCCCAAATTAAAGATAACCCTATCCTAGCCCAATGGTGTTATGACTTCTGAGACAGCCACACCTGCTAGGTCACGTGACCTTTTTTTTTGAAATTAGACCATCCTTCGAAGAGCCCACATATATAATACAGGCTACAGACTTAGCCAACTGTCCTGTCCCATCTTACTCTATACAGTAGGGGTTATGTTCTCCATGCGTCTGAGCTTCTTCTCCGATCGCTTATCTAGTGACCACCCGTGCCGGAATGTCACATCAAATAGGTATTTTATAGATAAATCCCCCCGTTTCCACTTCCACTTCTTTGGATATTGCTTCACCGTCACCTTTCACCTTGATTCCGGCCCATCTAAGATGATTTTACAGAGAGGTTTCTTCTTCAGTTTCTAGCCATCCTCCACAAAAATCACCGATCTCTTTGAAAACTTTCTGCGACCACAAGTTCAGAGGAACGGCCAATAGTCGAACCCAAACCCAGTCTCGTTTCACATTCGTTGGCCAGCAACCCACAGTAGGAGTCCACCACTCTAAATTCAGCTTTTTTTCTTCCATCACCACTCTCCTGTGAGGACATGTTCAGCCACCTTCGTCGATGGAAGCTCGAAGAGAAAGGTAAAGTCATTCATGACATATACGTTTACCCCATGTTCTGCTTTCCATGAAGAGCTTACCCATCTTCGAATCTCATTCTAGGTTGGGACCTCCATCTTTTCAAATCATCATCAAATCTGCCGACGATGCATCTTCCAAGCAAATCGACACCAGATAGCTCCGAGCTCCTTGGAATAATGATTATTGAATTTGTAGTTAGGCGACATATGTGTCCTTTTGTTGTTCACTTGTTGCGTCTGAAAGATTCTAGATAGGTTGACTTGTCCTCTGTATTTATTGGAAGAACATTCTCTGTCTCCTGTCTTCTTCTATTAATGAATTTCTCAATCTTAACTGCTGTGTGCCCCTACCCTGCATTGAATGAGGTTTCTGGAATAATCAAGACTGATTTGTGTTTGCCGTGTAAAGCAGCTATGCTAATGTATCTTCCGTATCTGTTGTTCTTGAGTGTACAGAAAATGTCTGTGAAATGGTCCTTCATTTTCCATCCTATGACTGTTTCCCCTCTCACCTTAGACGTCAGATTCAGCGTGTCTGGAATCCATTGTGACACCTTTGAGCTGTAGATGACTCGCCACATGAAGTTTCTGCTTCTCTCCACCCATTCGAACCAGACTTCATTCCTCGTAATTATTTTTGTGATGTCATAAGATTTGAACCCAGCTGTAAAATAAATCGTTGTTTCCCCATGTTGAGATGACCTGAGAAAATAGTAAGCCAAGTTTTTATGCAATTACTAAAAAATGATTGATGAAAAACGTAGCTTCTCCACTGAGACAAGTCGCCGGAATTGAGTTTGAATGATCAGAAATTGTTTTACCCGGTTACCTTGGAAAATGTGCCCGTGAGCATTTTTTTATCTTAAATGCCATAGTTCATAATTGGAAAATATTTTTCCTTCTCTTGCTAGGGAAAACATTTTCCTCCAATTGTAGAAAAACGAGTTTATAAGGAAAATATTTTCCAAACATTTAAACCAACCGAACATAAGAAAATTAGAAAATATTTTCCTTCATACCAAACACACAGCTATAACATGGGTCAAGGTAGAACTCTAAGATTGAGCATTTCCATGGGTCAAGGTTGGGAATCATCATGGGTCCATTTGGGCTGATGATTTGTGATGGGTTAACTTGGGCTAGCCCAAAACAGCCCATCTTCAAAATCGTTCTAGCCAAAACCCATTAAAACTTGGGCGGGTCAAATGCGTTTGAGTTAGTTTTGCCACCCCTAATTTGTGGAAGGGAAGGGAGTGTATAAAGCATATTATTCTCCTCCTGATAATTATAAAATATAAATATAAACTCTTTGTGCTTTAACTGTTTTTGAAATAGAAGTGTTAGGCTTCCTGAGGTGGTGACTTGTGTTAGTCAGTGCTTTTTTAAAGCAAAAAGTCCAAGAAATGACAAGACTCCTGGGGCTTTAAGCGAAAAGCTAGGTGATGAAGCACCTGCTTCTTTGATGTAACACACAATATACAGAAAATACAGAAATTGTCTAGCAAGTGGGATTATAGTATGTATTATTAGCAATTACATTTCTAATTTTGATCTCCAATACAACAAAAACAATATTAATCAACAACTCAAATTAAATATCATTTAAGGTCAACAAGCTCACAAAAAGATAACGTCAATCACTACTATGATCTTCAATTTCAATCAATTGGTTAGCTGCTTTATAAACAATATTGAAATTAGCTTTAATTTTAAAGAGATACTCCCTCCGTTTCAAATTAGATGAGGTGCTTTCCTTTTTAGTCTGTTCCACATTTCTAAATTTGAAAACAACTCAACTTTAAAAGATGGATGCTGAGCTTTTAAAGGATGGATGTTGAGCACATTAAACTCTTCATTATACCCATTTTACCCTTAATGAGAAGCTTTGATAACCACACAAATGTCATGGCCCCACAAAGCTTTTACCCCTTAAGCTTTTAAGACCACAAGTTTCAAAAGTCTTCTTTTTTCTTAAACTCCGTACCGAGTCAAACTACCTCATCTAAATTGAAACGGAGGGAATACTTTTTATTGTCGTGCATTTAGGCTATAATTAAAGAATCGGAGAATAATTAGAGAACAAACAAGAAAAGGAGAAATATTTATCGTTGACATCAAGAAAGGGTAGGATAGAGAAGCAGAAGAAAACCTAAAACAGAAGTAGTAGAAGTAAAAGACGCAGACAGAAGAAGAAAAAGAAGAACAAGTTATCTTGAAGACGAAATCATTAAGAAAGAAGCAAGTCAAGAAGTATAAGAAGAGTTGTTGCAAACTGTAGAAGAAAAAAAAATTAAGAGAAAACTGAAACATACATAAACAGGAATCCTAGTACAAAGATTGCATAAGACAATATTTTATCTTTTTTGGAGTTTTAACCTTTTAAAGTCAAATTCAAAGAAGCGATCGGTTCTAACTTGGATGGCTTTGTGTGTTCCTTTGAAGCAAGAACTCTCCCTTCGCATTGCTTCATCGCTTTAAGAGACAGACTGATCGCTTCTAAATAAGTGCTAGTACTTGTGTCGTTTTGTAATTTTTGCTACCTGAAGCTTTACATCGATCTTTAAATATACAACAATTTAAATGTTTCTGTGGTTTAGATAACAAAGAGAAGATGGCAATCATAGAAGTTAATTTATCTTGGTTGAACTTTCTTGACACATTTCAGGTGGTTCGGTACCATTCCCTTGTAATAGATCCAAAATCACTCCCAAAGGAACTCATTCCCATAGCTTGGACCTCTACCACTGAGACACTCCCTTTCCATGGTGTTGGAGAATCCGATTCATTCTTTCATGCATCCAAAGAAGCAGAAGATATTTTTCATGGGATGTCGGAGTTATCAAGTGATTCAAAGGATGTGCAGGGTGGAAAAGTCCTTATGGGTGTCATGCATTCTAGTAGGCCTCACTATGGATTGCAGGTGAGTTCGGTCATTCACTTTCCATGAGAATCTGCTCCTCTTTTACTAGTATGTAACATGGATTTTGCCTTTGCTACCAGTTCCACCCGGAGAGTGTTGCAACATATCATGGAAGACAGCTTTTCAAGAATTTCCGGAAAATCACAGAGGATTATTGGCTCAGGTTAACGTCAGCCTGCATCAATGAGAGAAGGGTTCATTATGCTGGTAACTGCACTATAAAATAGAGATAGTTCGATGGAGCTACTTATTTAGTCTCCTATACTCTGAGTCCTTTCCATGGGATTGGATTATATGTTTATTTATAGAACTTTACAAATGGTTGTGTCAAAAAGGTGTCTGAATTTCCTATCATTTCTCGGGTTCATCAAAAGTACTTAAAAGTAACTAATTTTGATGGGTTTTCTTGTATGCATCTCATATGCTATTTACCAAGCATGTAATTCCTAAAATCAGCAGCTAAGTGCTTTCAGTTTTTCCTGCTTTGTTTCAGTAGAGTGTTCCCACATTTACTCTGAGCGGTAAATTTTACTTAGCATGCATGCAGGTTCCTAATGTAAGCCTGCTGTCCCAAGGTGCTGCAAGAAATGGGCATCTGGTGAATAAATCGGTTGAGCGGAGAGCTGTCAAAATGGATGAAATCTTAAATCTATCACATCCGAAGTACAGTGTAAATTTTTTGAAGATGACATGGAAAAAACTAGATTGCTCTGCCAGCCAAGTTGGTGGAGCGGAAAATATTTTCTGTGAACTATTTGGAGATCAAAAGGCTAAAAACAGTTTCTGGCTGGATAGTTCTTCAATAGAAAAGGTCCTTTCTTCTCCAGCTTGTAGTTTCAGCACCTTACATGATTCTTTTTTTTGGTTGTCACTGGATTTTGGAGCATGTTTCAAATTGCATCGCATCTGTCATATCTTTTGTTCATTTTGTTAAAGTTTCTTCTTTGTTGCTCCCTCAGGTTCTGTGTCCTCTATCCACTTTCATCATTTCTCTCCCAATACA